TTACAATGAAAGTATCGATATAGTGTATATTTATCAAGACTTAGGGCAGACGATAGAAGTTCAAAAATTTCGCGGAATAAAGGGGCAGGTTTTTTTAACTTAATTAAATTAAGATGAACAAGTCACTGGGTGACTATGTTAGCGTACAGTGTTTACAATGTAGCCCGTGTGGGGTTTAACTGTACTCACCTCCCAGCCTATATCGTTATTAGTAATATACGTACTAGGATAGAACCGTATGTTTTTCCTGTCACACAATGCTCGAGATTGAAGGGAAGGTTGGCAGAAATTAAATATGAAATCCTTTTCCTTTTCAAACTATTCGCCCTTTAGCCTTATACATTATCAGATCTTTCAAATAACTTATTTATACCTTCGAAAAAATATGTCAAGCCCCTGAAAACAGGAGGAAATTGCCTACACTTCGTCATCAGTTTTTTTTTATCCGAAGCTCTTTCTTCAGTTGCGATCATATGAGAATCTAACACCAGAAGTATTACAAACATCGGCCTTTAAGGAAGAAGTACGGTCTTTTTTGAACGTATTCGTGTCGTATTAGTTCGGAATTACTGCTGGCGACAATATATTCCACGGTGTGAATAGCCACGCATCAAGAAGATATTTTTGACGCGATGCACGAACAATTCCTTTAATCATTTCCCGTGATAAATGCGCTAAAAGATGTAGAGCGACGCTTTAGCCCTACCCAAGGCCAAAGGATCAAGTTGATCGGGAAGGTTCTAGTCGTCGACGAGTCGCTTGGTGCTGAATGAGATCTAGAAGGAGAAGCTGGTACTGGCGTGCTCCCGTCCAAAGATGAGAATAATACTCCATGTGACAACGAACCTGTGCCTTATAAAAGTACTCAGTCCAAGTTATAAAGTAAGTCCTTGGGTACGAGACTCGTGAGTTGCACGAGTCTCGTACCGGCACACACATGATCAGATTTATTTTTAAGTAAAAGAAAATCGATTTAATTTTTTGATATCTCGTACAGTTTTCGGGATTATTAAATTGACACATCAAAATAATAAAAAACTTTTCTCAATGGTTTTGCTGCAATAGATAAATATTTTGACTAGGGGAACCTATAGTAATGTGTGCCCCCCCCCCCCCCCCACACACACAATGGTTGGCATTTATACAAAAATATAAAGAAATAAAACGCTGAATACGATTAAATTTTATTATTCTGTGATGGCAATTCTTCAATCTTCAGGTGACAATACGCTCTACAAATGGCATTTTCTTGAAAAAACAAAGTATAATTGTTGTCTGTTCGCATAGGCTACGAAAAGGCAGCCATTTTATTGACGTCAATAAGAGATAGGTGTTCTTAAATACGGTATTTTCTTATTTGTTTCTTAGGTTTTCACGCACATCACTCATTAAATAAAACTAGTTTTTACGGGTTAATAATTTAAAAATTAAATAAATAAAGTTTCATGCATTAACCCGTAAAAACTAGTTTTATTTAACGGTATTTTCTAACTTAACATTTAAGTTTACGACATAATTAGTAAATTGTGAACACTGCATAGATGAAAATTGTACTTTAGCAGAGTTTTACCTAAAATTCAACAAAACATCTAAGTTTTGGTATGCCTTTGTTTGGTATAATCTCTAGTATGGGAGTATAATCATTGGCACCTTTGTTAATCACTGAAACTTTTTATATATTTTTGCTTTCCGATTTGATTATATATTTAATATTAATTATGAATCACATTATTTTATCCCTATTAGCATCATAGCACACATATCAGCTGCGCTCGATGGCGCAGGTGGAAAGCGCGTTTTTGACTGCTATCGTCGAAGTTAAGAAACTTTCGCAATTGTCGGTCATTGGTTGGGTAACCAAAAACTTATTATCACGATCTCCTACTTGCTTCGGAAAACAAGTTACGCCGTTGGTCCCGGCTATATCTAAAGTCGTTAGCACCCACCAATCTGCACTGGGCCCGTGGTGGGTCATGATAGGCCCGATCTCCCTTCCAGCCATAATGAAGGCCTGTGCCCTAGCAGTGAGGACATTAATAGGCTGTTAATGATGATGATGACATATCAAATCTGAAAGAGATCGCTACCGAGCCTTTCAATTTACCGTCAAACAGGCGTCCACCTAACGAAAGCGGAGAAGCAGTTACGTAACGTACTGTTCGGATTGGCTGCGGCTAGGCGACGCTGCGCTAACCAGAGAGAGTAACCACTCAGATTTAGGAGTCGACACTTCCTAAACCACTTAAAATGGAGTTGTTACTTTCTCTATGGACGGCAAGTTCTCTAACAGCCTAAGGCTAAGCCTAGCATATTGGTCAGTGCATTCTCCCGGATAGCGAAGGGAGCGGGTTCGAGTCCCGTCTGCTGCTTGGTCCGCGTGGATTTTTTTCTTGTAAACTTTTCTTTAGATTTAAATATCTAGCTGTTAAATGCTTAAAAAATAAAAACATAACTATAATTGCTATTTCTTCTTTGAAATGTTTAATACCTGTAAAGGTATTCATTTGACATTGTGGGTTACCTACAATGCGAAGAGATGGCGCTGCCTTGCAGCCTAAGGCTACAGAAAATTCGACATGGCCGTCAGGGCCTCGGTAGCATAATGGTCAGTGTATTCGCCCAGATAGCGATGGGTGCGGGTTCGAGTCCTGTCTGCAGCCTGGTCCGTGTGGAATTTTTTCTAGTAAACTTTGCTTTAGATTTAAACATCTAGTAGTTAAATGCTTAAAAAATAAAAATATAAGTCTTTCTTTTCTTTAACTTCATGTAAATTACAACACAACGTAATATGAGAGTATTTACTTCCATAGTGTGCGGTTTTCTAAATATTCGGGCAACAAAATGTCCGCATTCCGTTTGCGTTGAGTCTGCTACAAGTGCTCGGTGGACATTCTCTTTTATGATTGAGGGACATACGCTGCTCAGGCGAATAATACATACCTAAGAGTCTTATATTTACGTGAATATAATAGAATTAAATGTTATCCAGACGGCTAATGACTGATATAGGTGGGTGCCAATTATTGCACCTCGAGGACCAATGACTACCTAAACACTTGAAACTTTTTCTGTTGATTTAAAAAATAGTTTAATGCAAAAATATGCAGCTTTTCAAATTCTTCTTATTTTGACAGTCAAACCTTATTTAACAACACTGTAACTACAATCTACATTCAATCGAAAACTAATAATTAATTTACTACAGACTAACAAATGAAGAATTCCGCTTAAGGGGCCAATCATTATATAGTCTACTCTACGCCATACTTACTTTATTGGATATTTTGTATTGAAACTCTGAAAACAATTAGAAAAGGTCAAGATGGAGTCGTAAATTTTTAACGAATATGATGATATAGTTTTTTTAAGGTGATTAATGAGTTACTTACCGATGGTAGGTGACTTTGTTGGTTGTTTTATGGGTCCTTTATAATTACGGCAACTTTTATCGTGCAACTCGGCAGTTCAAAACAAAAATTTCAACACCAAACTCTGTAATTGCCGTGCGTATTGATTTTTTTTTAACGCATCTGCGTTACTACTTTGTATCTAGAGAGTAAATAATCAAAGCCACATCGTGCTTGATTGCCACCCTTTTAACATAAAAAATATTGTCTTACTGTGGCCTTATGTTGAGTTTTGACATATTCTCCATACATCATTATTTCATAAGGTAAGCCTATGCCCCAGCAGTGGAGACATTATAAAGCTAATGAATAATACACAATTCAGTGCATTGTTGATACTCACTCACAGTAGACACAAACATAAAATACGTTTTTCAACCAGGTATTTACTCTGATTGAATCAATAATAAGTCAATTAAAATCCAGAATCAACTTTCTCGCACACATATCGCATACTTTTTCAAATATGTACAAGTAAATCGCCAAGCATATATTCGCAATCAACGCCAACACCAGAGCAACGCACACAAAAAAAGACTTCGACAGAACGCACATTGTCTTAAAGTGGTAGCTTGTCAATAGCTTTTAGTAATGTTTTTATGTTCATAAGCTATAGGCTGCCGTAAGCTAATAAATAAATAATAATAAAGCAGTATTCTGCGTGAAAATACTAAAAAAAGTTTACACTATACTTACTAATACATTAGCTGTGAAAAATCTAGAATAAACAACAAACGTTCGCATCTAGCAGCACAGCACAAAAATTAAGCATTGCCCAAGTCAACTTTATTTTAAATAGGACACTATTACTTCGCGTAGCCATTATAAAAAATGCATTGTGCCATTATAAAAAATGCACGCAAAAATTGCATATGGAGCGTGAGCACCGTTGTAGTGCAAGTATATATTTTATCGTGTTTGCAAAATAATGAATCTGATATGATGACATTTTCATCATTCTTGAATAAAGGTCTTAAATGCACAACGACTGATCCCGATACACAATGCCAACAGGAGATTTGATTGCGATTATTTATTTATAGAAGAGAGAGAGAAAATAGGCTATATTTTTGCATGCCAATTTGCCTGACCTATGTTTAAGGTTAGAATATAATAAATCTATCAATGTATGGAATGAAAAAACAGAAACAATTATAGTTATGATACAATAATATGAAAAAACCGATCAAATGCTAGTCTCTTGGATGACATTTTGAATAAAAAATTACTAATGCATAATTTGCGTTGCCAGTAGCATTTCTTAAAACACTTGTTTTAGCTTAAACACTTATTTCTTAGTAAAGAGGCAATAGAAATACATACTCTATGAAAATTTACCAACTTCAGCACGCTGACAGACAAATGAAAGAACAATGATTATTCAGTAATAGGGTCCACTGTCACCCAATGTCCACTGTACTACAGTGTAAACTTTGTTACGATCTCACCTTGCCTGCCTGCACAGATGTTTCTTCACATGATATAAGGTTAACAAACTATTTAGAAAAACAATACAGTTTGTGGGCGTCTGTACACAAAATATACGTATTTTATGACACGTTCGAAATAGAAATATTTAATAACCAAGTATACCTGAAGCTAATGGCGAAAGATCCGTGGTCCTTTTCGCTGGGGCGCACAAGGAAAGCGCCATCTGTGTTCGCTTTGCGTAGAAGTTCCTCTGCTTGCGCCCGCGTGCATTGGGGATGAAACCACTCTTTGCCTTCGTGCTTGTTGGGCTGTGGCACGGGTTCCTTTAGGGTGATCTGGAACTCCTGCAAACGATCAACTGCAGTTGTATTATTTTAATAATTCATCATCATCATCTTTTAAGATTTCGTACTGAACATTATCCATCCAGGAAATATGGTTTCCTTATAAAAAAAATATACTGCTAATTGTGAATTTATTTGTGGTACTGTTGATGACGTTCTGCACTAAGTGCACAGTGTACTAAGTATAACAGTGTACAGTGTGTAAGTCTAACAGTGTACACTTGTACAGTGTACTAAGTATAACAATAAGACAATGGCATTATTGCAAAATAACTGGCCAAGTGCGAGTCGGACTCGCGCATCGAGGGTTCCGTAGAAACCTGTAGGTATATTTTAATAATTATTAAAAAAAAACATTATGTGATATTACTAAAAATTTACGGTTTTCGCAATTTTTCCTTTATCTGTACTATAAGACGTTATTTCGTACCTAGACGTTAATTCTAAATTCACGAGAAGTACCCTGTAGGTTTGATTCCCATGCGAGTTTCGAAAATTTGCGGCATAAACGGCTGTATATTTTGTTTGCTTTGGCTTAGAAGTTTGATTTTTCACAGCTCCAAGGGACAGTAGATCCGAGTATTAGATATGAATTTCAGTTTGATATCTCCACGCGTTCCTGAGAAAAACGGTCTTAACAGACGGACGGACGGACGGACAACAAAGTGATCCTATAAGGGTTCCGTTTTTTACCTTTTGAGGTACGGAACCCTAAAAATAATATAAATGTTTAAATCTAAAGAAAATATAACTAGAAAAAATTCCACGCGGACCAGGCAGCAGACGGGACTCGAACCCGCACCCTTCGCAATCCGGGCGAATGCACTGACCAATTATGCTACCGCGGCCCTCACGGACCGCGTCGAAATTCTTTCTAGCTATTCTTAAGCTGCAAGGCAGCGCCATCTCTTCGCATTATAGGTAAACCCACAATGTCAAATGAATACTTTTACAAGTATTAAACATTTGAAAGAAGAAATAGCAATTATAGTTATAATTTTTATTATTTTTAAAGCATGTAACTGCTTGATGTTTAAATCTAAAGAAAATATAACTAGAAAAAATCAAGCAGTTACATGCTTTAAAAATAATAAAAATTATAATATAAATGTGTTCGGTGTAGGGAAATTCGCAACCATATTGGCAGATCCGCAGTCGGGAGTATTGAAAAGCCTTATAAATATTTTTTTGCAATAATGAATCTTCATAGCGTTTATAATAATTTTGTAATTTATAAAGTTAGGATATGATGAGGCTGACATATCTATTATATTAAGTAAAAACCTCCAAATAAATAAGATTTAGAAGAAAATTAACATCTTCAGCCTATTAATGTCCCCACTGCTGTGCTGCGCAGCTGCGGCACAGGCCCTCTCCATGGGAGGAATATGGACACTGGGCCGTGACCCACCAAGCGGCCCACTGCGGATGCAGATGCAGCAGGAACCAACGGCTTACCGTGGTTTCCGTAGCACAGAGGATTTTGAGATTGGTGGAGTTTTTGGTCACCCATACAATGACCGACCATAACTCCCACAATGGCAAGCCGAACGCGCCAACCACCTGCGCCATCGAGCTCCTCATCATATTTTAATCATTAACCTGCTAGATTTCTAAACCTAAATATTTTTTTACTAGAAATAAATCCACTCGGTCTAAGTAACAGATAGGATTCAAACTTGCGTCTTGCCTTCTGTTAACCGAGTGAAAATTTGACCAAGTGATGATCATGTGGCATCGGTTAAACTTTGCTTGCTATAAAACAGCGATGATGTATATTTTCCTATGTTAAAATGAAGAATATTGCGATAGTAGAGTAACACTAGCATGTTGCCTACCCATCCGCTAATCCATGTAGCCCTAAGAACCTTACTTAGTGAAAGACAATACCCAAAAGTAGTTAATTAAAGGGGTCGTCTGTGCTCGTATCCAAATAATTAATGCTATTCCTTAACCTCTCTTAAGTTTAGTCTTTACTTCGATAATTATTTTTATTTCTAATAAGAATGTTTTAAAATTGCATTATAGCCTACATATTCAAGAATATAAATATGTGGAACATACCTGACTTCGTAACGGATTCTGCCTATAGTGTGTGATCAAGCTATAGAGACTGTCGAAGCAAACCGTATCGATCAAGTAGTACTTGGTGACGCCGCGTTCTTGCTTCAACTTGATCCGGCAGTGGTTTACCTTGCCCTGCCGCCAGAACGACAGGCAATAATCCCCCACGAAAGTCACACTCTCCCTCACCAAAAACGTGCCATCGCCGAGATGGGCGTGGGCCCTCAGCAAATCCTCAGCCTCCTGTCTGTTCCCGGCTAATTTCCCGTGAAACCAGCATTCGCCGAAATGCAACTCGTCCTGAGGTATACTAGAGAGCTCCGGTTCAGCTTCCCCGTCGCTATCCACATCAGTCTCCCCTTGAGTACTATAATTCTCAGTGTAATACAACTTGTTTTCGGTCAGCACAAATGCGTGCGGATTCCACTCCTTATCGACCGGGTCTTCGAGGAGCAGAATGCCGTTCTTGATGGAGTTCCTGAGATCGAGGTCTTTCCCTTCCTCCTGGCGCACGGAGAATGAGTTCTCCTCCTCGCCTTCCGGAAGCTTCTTGTGTTTCAGAATGATTTTTCTGCGTAAGTCGTGCGGGGAAGGCAGACTTGTTTCATTCTTTTCGAAAGGCTGCACTAAAAGCATGTCTCCGAAGACGTCTTGGAAGGCGCTCGCCATCCTGCGTTGCTGGGGCAAAGAGCAATTGTCCTCAATCGATAGTATCAGGGGGTAATCAGATGTGACGAAAGCGTGCTCCTTTATAGTCCGCAACACATCCATGAATCTGATTTTGGTGGTGAGAGTATGACCGTGGTAAATGAATGGAGTCCCGTCAGGACCGTCCCAGCAATCTAGCTCTATACAACGACAGCCTAACCGCAGGCAGCGTACATAAGCTTCCAACGAGGACTCACTTGAGAACTGATCCCCAGTTAGGTACCTTTAACAAGCCAATTAATGAACGTCAATGCTGAAACTTTAGTTGCAACACATATTGTATCTTTTGGGTAGAAAGTTGTTGGGGAGATTGAGAGATATTGTTAATTGATATAGTGGTTTTACTGTAAATAGATACATACGTGTTGTGCGAGGACGAGATCCAGTAGTGAGATAAGGGCTTGGTCATGTCCTGCGTCACCTGGTCATGTTTACTGTCCCAGATTGTGTTTTGTTTCGAGAACAGCATTTCGACGAACTGAGGAAAAAGACGATGATCATATTATCATATTCATTTTCAGAAGATTCACGTAATAAAAAAATGATCATAAATTAGAAGTCTATCAGCAGTCAATAGTACACACCGGTCTAAAATGAAACTCTTACGATTCTATCCATAGGAAATGACTGTCCAATCAGTATGGAAAGGAATAAGTTTTGTTTAGCATTATTTTAATGAGTTCGCGATTTCTATGGCTATATATTAAGCTGGTTTTGGACACATCTTGATCTTCATCTCAGTTTTATAAAAGCACAGTATCACACAGGATCGTGTGTTGAATTATTGCCCGAACTCCAGATCATAACCTACTACGCGAGCCTAGCGCCAATTTGTGGGTACATACTTATGATTGCAAATGGAGTTAAAGAGCATCTTAGACTTAATGTGCTTGCCGAAGCCAAATAGAAGTTAGAGATAGTTATTTTTGGCCGACTCTTGAGAAAGTCACTTAACTTCCTCAAACGCCATTAAGTTTCTTCAGATTGATATAAATAAACGATTGGAGCGTCTAACTATTCAGGTACGTATAGTGTATAAATACCCACTCGGCTGTGAAATACAGTTCTAAGATGTAGTGCTGCGGGTTGTGCAGGTAGTCCGGAGTGGATTAAGGGGCGTGCCCTTGCCATATGGGTCGTGTTGTTTTATGACGAGAAATGGCTAAAATACGAGTAAACTGTGCATCTGTGGGCTACGTACCTCGTTGAGCGTAAAGTAAGGCTCGTAGATGTCCCGTTGCGGGTCACGCAGGTAGTCCCGTATGTACTGAGAGGCGCGCGACTCGTCCTCGCCGAGTCGGTCATGCTGCTCTATAACGAGGAATCGCTGGAACTCACGCAACGTGATCGTGCTGCCGTTAGAACAGTACAGCGCGTACTTGTCGAATATGTCGTGGACGTTCTGTCGAATAATAAATCAACTATTTACTTCCACACTAAGGGCTTTAACATATTGTACAACAGTGGAGGTGGCACCGCAAGCCTTAAAATCAGCGACGTATTTATAGTACTGTGTGGTATCATTATTCAAGCCTTGTCCCATCCGCGGCGTGTGGTAATCGTAACAATACTCACATTCTCGTCAAATATAAGTTTGTGATATAATATCGAGAAATCATCGAAGCCGATCTCCCCTTTCTTTCCTGTATCCACTTCTTGGAATATGTCCCTCAGTTTGCTAGTAGAAATTTTACAATTAATTTTTGGTAGAAATGCCTTCACTTCTTTCAAAGTTATCCTGAAAGAAAAAAAGGATTAAGTACATCTTTTTTAACATAATATAAATCTATAAAATAACATTGTCAATGTCATGAGATAATGTCGCTATCAATATATACATTATCAAGTCCCGCTTTGAATATAGCTGATCTTCGATACACTAATGTTATTCACATAACTGCTCATATAACAAATGTGGTTGCCGATAGCCGTCAGCTTTGACATTATTAGCATACAGCCTAAATAGATCTTGACCTACATCCGCAACAAAAGCCGAGTGCAAAGTTAAGGCCAAAGAATAAAATTGTTAGAAGTTGGCTTTGTAAACAACGGAAAGGAAAAAAAGGGTTGTATGTTGTTGCATTATTCTGTATAGCGTAGACAGTTGATAAATATTAACCAAATATGGTACTTCAGTATTCAAAATGCCGCGACTGGTCAGCTGAAGGTTAAGAAATAACTTAACATAAATTGTTGGGACTGTTTTTCATTAACTCACTTTTCATTTGGGTTCTCTATTGCATAAAACTCTTTTCTCAGCCACCTTTCTATTTGCAATGGATATGATGCACTTATGGCCTCCTCCACCAGAAACCTAAGGCCTTTCACCCAGGCATCACATTCTTTGTCAGTTTGTGCTGAAAAAATATAAGTTTTTTTTTTGTATATTGACTATAGTAGAGGTACATTTCGTTAAAAAGTCATCTTATATAATAAAATTCAAACACACAAACACAAAAACTTATGCTTAGCTGTAAATCCTACTAAGAGGAGCTAATGATCCTAAGATTATTTTTCAGCGTAGATGGTTTGTTTATTGGTTTGTTTCATTTTAGTTAATTATTTCTTTTTGTTTTTTGTATGTTCATTTGACATGACTGTAACCATACTGCATTTTGTAAATTATAATTAGTGGTAAAGGAAGAGCGGAGCCTCCTCCTTAAATGGAGACTCCAATCGATCATTTTGTTAACAAGGTTATTGTAAAAGGAAAATAAATTATTTATCATAAAAGTTCATACAACAATAAACATATACTAATTGCATACTTTTTTGACGGTTTTTCCATAATTGCATGAAAGAATGCTTACCAAAATTAAGTTGAAACAATATATAAGGAGAGCTATGAAGTAATATTAAAATGTTATTTTACCTAAAACCACTTTTTTCGATTTAAAACAGGATCTAGGTGAGCATATTTTTTATTACAATATTGGCTGAAATTTAACAAACTTGATTGAGTTTCATGTTTCTTAATATATTTAATGTGTCCAATCTATAATATTTTATAATATTGTTAATTAATATTGTGTTACTTGATATCAAAAAATTCTAAATCCTATTTATATTAAGTCTGTCACAAGAGTTCTAAATCTGGTGGAAGAGTAGAATGTGAAATTACCAAAAAAAGATGCCGTTACAGTCAATGGATAATATGACACAATTGCCATAAGCAATACGAGTGCCAGGTGTGGTGTATCTGTTTGCCGTTCCAATTCTTAATTTCAAGCTAGTAGGTAATAAGTTAAGTCCCCTATTGAAAACCTAATTTGGCTCTTAACTTTTCCAAATTCTATGTTTATGGTACTTTCTCGGTATCAATTTACTCGCCGCTTCACGGCACTTCACTTTTCTATTTTTATGTATTATATCTCTCATAAATTTTTACTCATTGTCATATAATAAATATTTCAAGACTCACAACAATTTGTCTAGACCCAAAGTACACTGCTGTGTACTGTAGGCTTGTGTTCTGGGATACTAGGGTAACGGATAGAATACATATACTGATGCATATCCATAACTGAAGTACAAATGCTTGTATTTATCACACAAACATCTGCCCCAACCGGGATTCGAAGCCGGGTTGCTCGAATAGGCGACACCTTGAAACCTGGCGTTGATGCCACTCGGCCACGGAGGTCGTCTATAAATATTTGCTTATAATTTCTTATTGTTAAAATTATTGATTTTCATTTTGACGCTTCACGTCACTCCCGGCTCATAACTTTTTCTCCATCCTGTAAATAGTTTTAACCACTTTTAATTTTTCATCTCTTTTTAATATATGTCTGCCGAGAGAGACCATAAATGTCTTCTTCAAAATTCAAAAATGTTTCTTTTGTTGGCTCGCTCTATTAATTTATTATTCTTTTTTTGAATTTTAATATTGAATGTCAGGCATAGCAATATAAAAACCGCGAACGCCTAGCATTGTAATTCATTCGTCGAGTTTCACTCGCAAACTACTCACTGTAGTCCCGGGCCTATGCCAAAGGCCCGGGACTTAGGAAAGCCCCGCGTGAACATATCCGCGCACATCGTATATCCGCGCTGCGGCTCCAATCACCGGTTCTCCTGATGAACACGCTGTGGCCTTGTCTTGGCTAGCGCGCCACCGTTCCTGAGCGCGCCTCAACTCCTGAGAGCACCGCCATCTCTGAGCGCGTCGCCACTCTCCTGGGAGCGCCAGATCTCCTGTGCACGCCGCCTCTCCGTGCATCAACTCAGCGGTGCGTCTAGTGCCGAATCAACCCTCTGACGTGTGCGTGCAGGTTAGCTCTATACCCAAACGCGGTTCGCGAGTGCGCGTCCGTTTATTTCGCGTGCGGTTCTCATTAGGTTTTTAAGCTTCTCTCTCTCTCTTCTTTTGTATTAGGCCTTGTATATAATAAATTAATGTGTTTTTTACCATATTTCTATCTTTCTCTTAGTAGTCCCTTAAGTATTTTTTCTTTAACTTTTTCCAAATTTCACTCTTTCTTTTCTTTCTTTTAAGCGCCTTTATTCCGCTACACTCTGCTACCCTTCGTAGGGTAGTGTAACGTTACATAGGATGATGGCAGGCAACGACGAGTGTGGCTCTGTCACCAGGCACCGCGCAACGTAGTGTGGAGCTGTGTAAGAATAGCCTTATGTTTAAAGGCTATTTGAACTTTATTTTTACGAACTTTTTGATTATATTTTCTAATACGTAAATTCAGATAACGACTCATACCCCATTGAAAACAGATGTGATAACGGTAGGAGTCACCAAGGCTGAGAATGGTAGTTTATCTTACCAACTTTCGTTATATAACTCATTAAATAAAACTACCGAACTAAACACAACAGAGTCAATATTTGATAATCGGTCGAAAACGACTACAAAAAAAAATTATATATTTTTTGTCGTATTTTATACATAACTAGAGGCCCGCCCTCGCTTCGCTTCGGTGTAGAGCTGAAGCGTAGACTACAGTTTTTGTTCTCATGCTTGTTTTATACACAATGACATTCATCTATGATTATTCTTATACCTGCATGCAAAGTCTCAGCCTGTTCGGTTTTAAAATTGACAAAGTTTCATACAAACTTTCATTCCCTATTTTATCACCTTGAGGGTAGAATTGATCAAAATCCTTTCTTAGCGGATGCCTACGTCATAACATCTACCTGCATGCCAAATTTCAGCCCGATCCGTCCAGTGGTTTGGGCTGGGCGTTGATAGATTACTACGTCAGTCAGTCAGCTTTGAGTTTTATATATATAGATTATAAAAAAACTGAAGATGGTATATTTATCTTTTCCAAACTTCTATTGACATCACGTCGCTCAATTGTTTTGCCTTCCCAGAATCTCTCCACTAACATTTGAAATTTATGGTACGGTATTAAAGTTCAAATTGACTTTTAAGTATTATTACGAATCGTTTGTATGGGAGTAAAGAAAAGTTTGTTTTTTGACATTTTCAGGCATTTTTTTTAATTTTTCTCTTCGTAAGAACCATCCTCGTACTTCAAGGAATATTCTAAAAAAAAAATCAGCCTAATCGGTCAAGCCGTTTTCATGTTATGTCGTGACAACGGAAAACTGGTTTCATTTTTATATATATAGATTGATGTCTAAGTTATAGAGCCAAGTTAAATCTACATAATAACTATCAAATACACTTTATTCGATTTTAGGGATTTTTGAGCAATATTTGCAAATACACAGAACAGGAAAATGACACTAGTGGCAGGATAATGAAATGGACCGGCAGACTGATGATAGGACAGCAGGAAAATGATTGAAACATCAAGAAAATGCAAAATAATCCATTATAAGTAATTATTATATTCATTATCAATCCAAGAATAATAATCAGTATAACAGAAAACAAAATTATATCACTCTTCTTAAAGTTTTATAGAAAATACAATTATATTTAGTAAGTAACATATTTGACCAGATTTATTAAGAATTTTAACTTATTGTATTAATCAACATATATAAAATATCACGCCTCTTTCCTTGTACCTTTATTTTATATTCTACCTGTATTCAATAATCAACAAATATGTAATATTCTTTCATTTAAGAGTAATTTTGAATAGCTAAATCAAATACAGAATTTTTAATCAGTTACTTGAAGAATGTATCATTCTATAATAATATAATTAGTTTAAACATTTCAACTTCAATGATAGTAAAAAAAAAACAGAAATAATGTTTTTCATTTTTAGAAGTAACAAAAATAATATTAAAAATAGTTTATAGAAAAAGAGCAAGACCCGACAACAAAGCTATTTTTCGAATACATCTAAAGCATTTGGGAACTTATAAAAAATACGTTCTCCTTTGAGTAATAAAGAAGGTTGAGGTAACTTCAAAAGTATATCTTCAACTGGCAGATCATAGCAATTATCATCAATTTTAAATAGCTTACCATCATTACCAGTGATTTTTAAAAATGTAACTCTAATTTCGCCATCTTCTTCATCTACTTCTCCCATACACACAGCAACATATCTATATTCTGTATTTTTAGAGCTACATTTAACAAGAATATAGTCGCCATTGTGATAAGTTACATTTTCTTTTCTTAGAATGTTAGATGAGCTAGTTGTCGCAACGTGATCTTCAACAGCATCAAAATTTATACTTGAAGTATTTGGATCGATGTTTTCTTTGGGTGTTTAAATTTCGCATTCATTCTCTGACTCTGAACTTGTGTAAATGTGTTTAGCCTTTTTAGCATTGACGTTATCCACATAATTCAAAGTTCCCATCAAATAATGTTCGCAGCTAAACATATTCTCACAAAAGCAACTCAATAATTTCATTGTTAATTTGAAACTATCTTTATTACCGATTACTTGATGGACTTTTAAAGTTCCCGAATAAGGCTTAGATGACTTTCCAATCAATTTAATTTGAGAATGTTCATAATCTTGTTGCGTCACTGTTATAATTTTAATGTTGGGACAGTTTTCTTCTAGAACCGTTTGTATTTTTTTTATATCGACTAAGTCTTCACCTAAAGCAACCATTCGGTCGGCAGTGCGTTTACAAACGGCTCCAACACCATCAGGGGCACCCTTGCCGTGCCCAGCCTCACTATAGTTCCAAGAGAAGAAAGTGTAATTTTCATAAAAATATTTAAGTCTGTTTGCAAGAATAAAGAACATGAACCGATGGGTTATGGGGGGATGGTACTGGGTAACGGGCCCATCGCTAAGAAAATGCAAATATGTTACAGATTTTAAATTTGTGGAAATCCAATCAAATATAGGGTGAAGGTGAGCCCATATGGCATAAGCATCATGATCTAAGAACTCGGAAATAGTACAGAAACTTTGACACTCTAATTGATTGTTTGTTTTCCAGTATACAA